TTAGAAGTTCTTCCTCAGCTGTGGCATTGCCTGTGTATACAAAGGCTGTTGATTTTTGTGCATTGATTTTATATCCTGCTACTTTGCCAAACTCTTCTATGAGTTCCATTAGTCTCTTAGTAGAGTTCTTCGGATCCCCTAAATAAAGAATCATATCGTCTGCAAAGGGGGATAGTTTGAGTTCTTCCTTCCCAATTTGTATCCCTTTAATTTCTTTTTCTTGCCTGATGGCTCTGGGTAAAACTTCCAGAACTACATTGAATCGCAGTGGTGAGAGTGGGCATCCCTATCTGGTACCAGATCTCAGTGGAAATGCTTCCAACTTTTCCCCATTCAATAGGATGCTGGCCATGGGTTTTTCATAAATTGCTTTGATTGTATTGAGGAATGTTCCTTCTATACCCAATTTGCTTAGAATTTTCATCATGAAAGGGTGTTGAATTTTATCGAATGCTTTCTCTGCATCTGTTGAGATAATCATGTGGTTTTTCTTATGCAGTTTGTTAATGTGGTGTATCACATTGATTGATTTGCGAACATCAAACCATCCCTGCATACCAGGGATAAATCCCACTTGGTCTGGGTGGAAGATTTTTCCTTCAGTTCTCTTTTAACTACACAGACTTGACTCTTTCTAGGCTGAAAGTAATTGTCCTTGGTTTAGAACATGAAAGCAAAATAGTGTTTAGGTGGTTATTCCTCTCCATGAGATTTTTCTCCTATGGTACATCTTTGGGAGGGTAGACACCCAAACACTTCTTAACTCTTTCAGAGCCAGTTAAAGAACTATTCACAGAGATCAACAGAAGTGATAATCAGGATAATCACCAATTCTTTAATTTGATTCTCAAAAACTTGAATTTTTCAAAATTAATTCTACCCTAAAAAGATAACATTTCACCACTATTGGGAATATTTACCTAGTAACCAAAAAAAATGGCATTTGTAGAGCTATGCACTATTTTCCATGGATTATATCACAGTAGTCCATGGGTATATACTTAATCCCTTTAATGAGATTAAGTTTGAGAGCATGAGTAATATATTTGAATTCTGATCGGTTACATACCAAAAAAAATCAGACTTTTATCCATTCAGTGGGACCTACTCTCTGCAAGGTACTGTGCTGGTAGGAAACGGTGCAGCACTCGAGAACTGGGTAACAGACTCTTTAATAGCTTATGTAGCTTTAGTACATGATGTAAGTTGGGTATAGGCAGTATGCATGAATGGGCTCATGAAGACAGTTGCTGTGTTACTCAAAAAAAGTGTTCTATAAATCCTGCTGCCAACAAGAATAATGTAAAAACAACAAGAAGCATAGGACTGGCATTATGGAGCAGCAGATTAAGCCACTGCATGAAATCCCCAGCATCCCACATGAGCGCTGGCTGCTCTGCTTCTGATCCAGCTCCCTGTTAACGTGCCTGGGAAAGCAGTGGGAAGATGGCTCAAATACATGGGTCCCTGCCACCCACTTGGTAGACCCAGATGGAATTCCAGGCTCCTGGATTTTCAGCCTGGCCCAGCTCTCACCACTGAGGTCATTTGAGGAGTGGACCACCAGGTAGGAGACCTCTAACCCTGTTTTTCCAATAAATAAAGCTTAAAAAAAAAGGAAGGAAAAGCAAGCACTATGGCACACAGAGGGTTAAAGCCCTGGCCTGCAAACCCCAGCATCCCATAGTGGTGCTGGTTTGAGTCCTGGCTGTGCCACCTCTGATCCAGCTTCCTGCTAATGCACCTGGGACAGCGGCCAGAGGATGGTCCAAGTCCTTGGGCCTCTTGCATCCATGTTGGAGACCCGGAAGAAGCTCCTGGCTCCTGATCAGCCCAGCTCTGGCTGTTGCAGCTATTTGGGGAAAATTAATTAACTACAGAAAAAAGCTTTGGGTATACTGTAAATTTCCTGCAATATGGTAGAATTACATCACCAGGGTAGAGCTATTGCCCATTAATCTGGAACAGTAGCTGTGTGTCAGAGAGGTTCCTTAGTGTATTCAATCTCCTTATATTATGTAACTTCAGAGAGATGCAGTGTTGCATTCTCCCCCAAGGCAATTCAGGATCTAAAGACATCTTATAAGAATCAAGGGCCTTTATGATTAATTGAAATGTTAAAGACAAGACAAAGTGGCAGTTTCAAAAAGGTTCGTCCAGGCCTTTTAAGCATCTCTCTCCCCTCCCCCAGCCTTCATTCTTCTGATTTATTCAAGAAAGAGCATAAAAGCATTGTATTAGAAATTCATATCCAGGAAATATGGGCACTTAGGGTCCACTGAAAGCAAGCTGAGAGCAGCCGTCAAGGAAAATGTCCTTACAATAAAAACAAAATTCGAGTTTAACAGGGAACAGCGAGGATAGCATGTTGTGTAAATGGGAACTTTGAGATTTTTAAAACATCTGAGAGGTTCTAACGTTTTCTCTTCCCACAAACCTTTATTCTGATGTTCAGACTCATCCAAATGTTAAGATCTGGCCAGCCATACAGCTCAAAGGATTACAGTACAGGCAGTTAAGCTGAAATTCCCAAGAAGACTGATCAGTATAATAAACTTCAGAGGAAGGTAGCACTGCCCTCCCACCAGAAGTGCCAACACTGACTTCCTCCTCCTCCTCCTCCTCTTTCTCGGCTTCTGGAACATGCCTCAGGCAGTGTGTGTGTGTCCATGCCTTCACTAACACCGGTTTTCTGTCGGCAGCCTGGCAGCCTTCCTTAAGGCGAGCTTTCAGCTTGTGCCCTCACCAGGTGCTACAGGTTAGTTTCGGATTCGCAGATGTAAAGCCACATGGAAATGTTCTCTGGGATGCACACGTGTTGAACGACCTGAGACATCCCTTAAATGCGGGTTTCAACAGTTCCCGTCATCCTCCATGGATTTTAGGAGATGGGGCTAAAGACACATTTGTCTCTCTCCTAGTCGGTTTAGCTTCCAACCAGGTAGTTAGCAAAGCCTGCTCCCAACCCTACCCTCACGCCAGCGCCTCTACTTTAGGACAGGGCCTTCTAGGTGCAGTTTCCACACACTTAGAAACTTGACTAACTTGAGGACGAGAGGCTCTCTTAAGACAATGCTGCACGTGATGGGGCAGAGCGGGTAAGAACCGTCCCCAAACGCTGGGGGCGGGCGCAGGGGGCTTATCAGCCGGAGATGCCTCCAGTGGCGCTGACAAATCTCCCAAGTGGGAAATCCATTTCCCTCCACAGGGCCTCTGCGTGCGAGCTGAGGAGGGGGGATGGGTAGGGGGCCATCGCAGGGGAGAAGTCTCCGGCCCTTCCACATCTCTCAACACCATCCCTCCCCCGGCCCGCCTCCTCCTCCCTCAGTCCTCCACTGGCCGGCGGGAGAGGGGCCCCGGGGGGCTGTCCGGCCCCGGAGCCTCGGCCTTTGTGGCTCTGTCCCCGACGGCGGCGCTGCGGCAGAGGGGGCGGGGACGCGGCCGGAGACCCTCAGCCGGAGCTTGACCCCCAGGTGCATTGTCCAGCGAGGCCCGCCCCCTCCCCTCCCCCAGGGCCGCGACCCAGCAGCCACGGGGCCCCCTTCCAGCGTCTCCCTCCGCCGGCCGCGCCGACCTCCCTCCCGGTCCCCAGACCAGGGGCCAGATGTAGAAAGTAGTCCCCAGGCCGGCGGCCGCGGCGCTGTCCACTCCGCCGCCCCCGCCCTCTCCAGCCGCCGCCTCACTCCGCCCCCAGGCCGGACTCTCGGCTCCCCCGCCGCCAACCACTCACCCCCCGCCAGGCGCGAGCGGGTGTCCGTGCGCCGGCCTCGCCGCCGCCACCACAGAACCCAGCCGCGGGCCGCGCCGCGCCCGTGCCCGAGCGGGAAGCCCAGCCTGAGTGCGTGCGGCTGCACGCGGGGAGTGCCCGGAGGCAGGGGTTCTGCGGGTGGACGGCGGCCGCGGGGCGGGAGAGCATGCCCGCGCAGCCCCGCTGATGGCGCCTTCTCTGAGACCCCTGGCGCGGCTGCGGCCGCCGGGGATGCTGCTCCGCGCGCTCCTGCCCCTGCTGCTCTTCAGCTCCCTTCCAGGTGGGCGCGCTTTCTCACGCGTTTCTGGGGGCGGCTGTGGGGGCGGGAGCAGACGCGAGCGGGATGGGGTGAGGGGGGACGCTGAAACGGGGCGGACGAGCGCTGACCACAGGTCCGTGCCCCCTCCCTGAAGGCTGCAGGCTCGAGGTGCCCACAGGCTCTGCGGCCGGGGCTGGGAAGCCTCTGGCCGCGCGCGCCCCTCCCCGCCGCGTTCCCGGGGCCACGGGCTGCGAGGGCCGTGGCAGCCGCTGTCCACTCGGGTCCCTTCCTCCTCGCGCCATTGTCCGGGCTCCGGCCGCGTCCCCGCCTCCGCGGCCAGCCGGGGCTCTGCGCTGCCAGTCTGCCGGCCGGGCCCGCGGCGGCCGCACGTGGCTTTATTTATATTGTTTCCTTAGTGGCAGCCTCGCGGCGCAGGGGGCGCCGCGGTTGCGCGCGGCGTCCTGTGTCGGCAGCGCTGGTTCCCGCACTCTGTGGGTCTTGGGGGAGGGAAGAGGTGAACTCGGTGTCCCTGGGCGGCACCCCGAATGTCTCCCGAGTGTCCCGGACCCGGCTCCTGCGAGGCGGAGATGGGAGGGTGGAACTGGGGGGGAGAAGAGGGCTGGGAGTTGCACGGTTGTGTACGAGGAGGAGGAGGGAGACCCTGAGAAGGAAGCTGTCCGAATAGGGTTTATTTCCTGCAGCTAGGTGTTTGGGGGCAGGGCCTGAGGTGTGTTCGGGTCCGGAGCTTCCTCCAAACTCCGCGGTTAGCTTTGCCGAACTTGGATCCATTCCTTTTTCTCCGTTGCACGGGGCTTGGTTTCCTCAGAGAGAGAGAGAGAGAGAGAGAGAGAGAGAGAGAGAGAGAGAGAGAGAGAGAAGTGTGAAGTGGCGGGGCGGGTTGGGAGGCAGAGGCTCGGAAGAATGGGTTATTTTATTTATATACACGTTCCGCACGCCCGGCTTTTCGGTGTGTGTGTGTGTGTGTGTGTGTGTGTGTGTGTGTTTCCTGGAGGAGTTAGTTTCTGTTAGCATGAGAAAAGGATCAAAGTCAGATGTGGCTCAGAAACACAATGGGCGCCTTCCGGAGCGGTGGGGCGCGGCGCGGGGCTGTGAGGCTGGCTCCCGTCGCCCGGGGCAGCCGCGAGGGGAAGTGGAGAGCCGGGCAGCGTGGGCTTTCTGAAGACCTGCCTCGATGGGGGGACGGACGAGTCGTCCCTGGGGTTTGTCGTCCTAGGAGGACCGAACCACCCCGGGCCCCTGCGTTCTGCCCGCGTCGGGGAGCCAAACGTGGGCCGGCCTTTGCGCTCAGCGCGGGCGCTGGCAGAGCGTTAGCTGGTCATCGTGCGTTGTTTTCTCCCGGTGGGGGCCAGACGCGATGTGTATGCTTAGGATAAAGCTTTCCTTCTGGTTTGATAAAAAAAAAAAGTGTGTTGGTTGATTAAGCAATCTCCTATCCCTATTAGACAGTAAGGACCAATTAGTCACGCATTTTTACGACAGTTGGTAGTTCTAAAAAAGTGAAATAAAAGTTTCCTAATCCGATCACCCACTGAGTACGAGCAGCCAGAGTTACCAACTTTTCAAAGTCTATTGTTTGTCCTTTAAATACCTAGTTTGCTCTGCAGAAAATAAGTAAATGGATTTCTTTCAAGGCGACGAGGCTGAGTCCCTGCTGTAAAAAGGGCGGATAGGAAAATGCAGGCTTGTGATGTGTCACAAAAGATAAGCGCACTTCCCACAGGAGTAGGTGCGCCCAGGGTTCCAAAAACCCTTCCAGGGAGAAGGAAATAAACTTGCTTGTTCACGGAGTTGGAGTTTTGCTAATGATTTCTTGTAAAATTAGACTTTTATGACTTACTCTGTTCAAGATCTTTTTGACAAGCTTGTAAAAGTAGCGAGCAGCGCAAGCTCAGTTTTCCCGATGATTTGAAACTCGGGCCAGGACAGAATTCTTGTAAGAAGTAGCGGTTATTGAAATCTTCCCGTTGTTTGTGGTGTAAAATGAGCCCCCTGATTTGTTAAAAAGCTTGCTGAGACTTAGCGTGGTTTATCGAGGTGTTTTCTAAGTTAACGAATAGGGTGTGTGAAGCTGCCCTGAGTATGTGTTTGACAATTGTGTGTGAAAGGATTTTATGCCTGTAATTCTGCAAATACCCTCTTCCCTTTCTTACAGGAGTGTGGTGCTTCAGCGAACTGTTTTTTATGAAAGAACCACAGGATGTAACTGTCACAAGAAAGGACCCAGTCATATTAGATTGCCAGGCTCACGGAGAAGTTCCTATTAAGGTCACGTGGTTGAAAAATGGAGCAAAAGTGACTGAAAATAAACGGATCCAAGTTCTTTCCAACGGCTCTTTATACATCAGTGAGGTGGAAGGCCGGCGGGGAGAGCAGTCCCATGAGGGATTTTATCAGTGCTTGGCCATGAACAAATATGGAGCCATTCTTAGTCAAAAAGCGCATCTCACCTTGTCGAGTAAGTGTCTCCAAGTTCTTGGTTGATGTTTTTCATTGCTGCATTTTGGTGATTTCTTGATTTAACATAATACCCTGAAGTCATATGTACATGAAGAATTGTTCTAGAGATAATAGTTGGTTCTCATCTAGTCACGGAGGGAAATCTGGAAAAATGCATCAATTCAAGTGAACGAGTATGGAAGTCAAAATAGTTTCAGAAAGTCAAGTAAAATAAAACCCATACAAGTGACTTTATATAAATTTCAGGAGTTTCACACAATTAAAAGAGTTGGTTGTAGAAGTTTGGTCAACACAACAAAATTTGTCCTGAAATCTCTTCTTTTGGAAATTCGTAATTAGGTTAAGCCAATGACCAGCAGATCTTCCTGCTCTGTGGACAGTCCTTGAGTGCTGGATCTCTCTTATAGACTGATCTTTCATTTCTCTGACTGCCTGTAGATCACCCATGTTGTGTTTTAATTGTAAGTGAGGGCATTTGTCAGAAACTCTCAAGCCTTTGAAGTAGCCCTAGTCTTTTCCTGCTGGGAGGGAAGAGATTAAGGCTATTTCCATATTACGCCTAATGGATTTAAACCAGATCTGCTCACTTTTTTCCAGTTGTCATAAAGGTTGCTGTCTAATGATTTCCCTTATATGAACAACTCCATCAGATGAGCCATTTGTCCAAGTGATCCATTGCCTACTGGTTGACCTGATGGTAACTGTTGGGTGTAAAGGTGGACCCCAGACAGGAACTCCTGACCTCCCACTGAGGCCTCCCACCACTTCAGGTGGTGAGATTCATAGCACTCAAGGTTATACTCTTTGAATCTTGGGAAAACAAAATTGTATCTTAAAAATAGATATACAAACATCCCACCTGAATGCTTTTGTTAGTCCACAAAACAGATTTTTGTACTCTATCTGCATATTATTTACAAGATAAACACTAGAAAGAGGGAGTTCTTGAGATAAATGCATCATCTTCACAAAATAGCTTCTTTAAGTTCTCATCATTGAAATTTAGCAGTCTAGTGGTAGAGATTTCCTGGGTGACTTCATTGTAACCTTCCATGGTAGTATTTAAGCCACCCTCAAATTACTAGCTTATTTGTGCAGTAATGATTGATTATAAAAATAAATTGCAAAAATAATTTTATATTGAAATATTTTTATATTGAAACATGTCTGAAAATTAGACCCATTTTTTAATTCTATCCCCACCCTGCCAGTAAATAGTGTAAACCTAAGAGGATTTCTAATAAACTTTCTGCTTGTTGTTATCATTGGCGAGTAGTCATTTTTTTGAGTAGTAGTTTTTCTGTACAATACTGTTTTCAGGACAGTATGCTTTTATGCATATGTTCTGTTCATTTTTGTTCAATGTAAATTTGTTCTTCAGGATTGTGATTTACTCTCCATTTTAGGTTTGTGGTCTCTTGAGTTTCTATACCTAGGAACTGTAGCTTGTGTTGCTTTTTAGGAGTAAGGGCTAGGCCTTGAAAAGGGGAAGCATTTGCTGGGACTGCCCCTTATTTTTGGGACCCTCTGAAAAGCCTGACAATTCTAAGGCTCCCAGAAACACTTTGAAAACATATAGACCTTTCTAACTTCATAAAAAAAGTCTGCAAGGTGTGTATAATTGGTGTTATAAACAAATACCAGTGCTGACTTTTTGAATATTTTAGATTTTGTATCTTTATAAAAATCATCCTTAAAAGTTCATGAAATGTACATTGTTTTGAATCAGGCTAGTGTGGTGAAGCAGTTTTCATATTGTTAAGTATCAGAAACTTAAGTGAAACTATGTTGAACATTGCTGAATACGACTGTAATCAGATGGGGAGAACATTATTCATACACATACATTTTATTTAACCTGGACAATCCGTTCAGTATTATAGAATTAAAGTAAATGCATGGCAGGTTTATATTTTTCTTTGGAAATATAAAATTTCTTAGAGCTCTTGAATTCACAAAGTTGTGTTACGAAGTGATGTCAGATGGTGGGGGAGCAGATGCCTTTATCTTGATTTCTGATGTTATGCCTTATATGTATGTTAAACAGGAAGAGACTAGACATTAAGTAGGCACTCAGAGGTTTTGTTGCTAGTTCTTTCCTAGTTATTGATAACAGCAGGGTGCAAATACGCTCTTTTTATTTTCTTAAAGATTTTGTCAGCCAGCCTGTCTTGTGGTTCAAAGGGTAATAGTACAGCACCTGAAATCTGAAGCTTTAATCTGCAAGTTTTAGATTTTTAACACACAGGCAATCAAGAGTTGGTTTCTAAACTTAGGAACTAGAAAGTTGCACTCTAGGCAAGAATTCCATTATTCATGTGTAAATTAGGAATTCACAGGGTTAAAAGGTTAGAAACTGGCCAGGATGAGGTTTACCCTTGTGATAAAGAGCAGATGACCCTCATTCATTGGCCAAAGCTTTCATGTAGCTCTTCTGCAAAGTTAGTTATTGCCATGAATTGTTCTTGAGGAATGCAGAAATTCAAATGTGAACAGGCCTTTCCTTAAGTGTCACTATAGAGCCTTATCTCCCAAGCACATCAGAGCAGGGCTGCAGGGACAAGGTTCCTCCCCAAAGGCCTGGAGGCTTTGCTTTCCTGTTGTTCATCCAAGCACAAAAGAATTTGTCTTAGTTTTGCTAAGGCATCCCATTTTAAAGGAAAGTATAGGGTTAAAGCAATATTTAGCTTTTAAAAAATGGTAATCCTTTTTACTGATAGCTAGTTTAGCTGTTTTCTAACCCATTTTCATGTAATTAGAACAGAAAGAGCAGTGATGTGGGAGACCTTTTTTTCTAGTTGTATACAGTAGTAAGAACAGAGATTAAACCCCCTTCATATAAATGTCAGTGTTTTAAACTTCTGGCAAGCCAGTTTTCACTTTCTTGGGTACTAACTCTTCGTTGTAATAAATGATTTAAATATCCTAGAGAATGTTTACTTTTTGAAGCTTCTTGCATTCTTAATGTCGAAAGAAGTGAATTTCATAGGAAAGCATTAGTGTGGTAAAACAGTCTCATATTTCAACAAGTTGAAATTAAGATAAGAGACATTTGAGAGCAGGTTGTGTTCTGTGCTGTGTAAAAGACTGACTGTGAGGTATTGATTGAACAGGAAGCTAGTTGTTTATTTCCTTTCCATAAAAGGTGGAAATTGAAGTCTTAGGACAGAGGGAAAGAACATAAAATTTGTTAGGTTTTGGGTCAAAAAAATAATTTTTGTGCATGAGCATTTACAGCTGGAAGAGCATAGGATTACTGAAACTTCATGATTTTGTTCCAAAATGTTGAGTTGATTTTGACATCAGTAAAGCTGAATGGTACATTTCTGTGACTTGAAGTAGCAATAGACATCTCTTGTAACAGAATGTATGTTGTTTTTCATGAATAAAATGTTTATCCCTTAAGTTTAAAATTACTCTTGAGAGATGTTTGTGGGATTGGTAAACTGTGGGTGTGGTTTCTAAACAGTAATGCAGAAACTATAGTCCACAGTTAATTTTGAGATGCAAGATTTTAAATATAATATTTAGAGTCATTAAAAAAGAGAGGGGAATGGCATATTGAAAAGATAACAGTAAGACCTATGAGATTACAACCTAGTTTTGGATTTTATTACAAATGTACTGATACTGATTTATTATTGATCCTGAATTTTGTGCTGATACTTGCCAGATAGGCAAAATTTGCTACGTTGTCACTGTTTTATGGAGCTTTGTAGATGCTCTGATGTGTGTGGGGGTTTGTGTGCTCACTTCAGTCAACCTGATAGCAGTTACCTGCCTCAATTGAAGAGTGCCACCACATAAATAAAAATAGATTGATTTGGGAAAAATAAGACAGCACTGTAGATAAGGTTAACTTGATGTTTTATGTGATCCAAGAAAAATCACGTTTCAAAAGGGAGAGTGTGTTTCAAAAGTATGTATTTAATTTACAGTGGAACATCTTACATTTGCCTAAGTGAAGTCAAGGAAGTAAAAGTTGCACATGTAGCTCCACAGCCTTGTTTACAATGACACTTGGTTCTCAAAGTCTGTCTACTTAAAGTCTGTTTATCAGGTACCTGATAATCTCTGGGTAATGGAACCAGTTTTTCCCACTTTGCAGTTGATTAATGAGGATCATTTCTCATTTCCAGAAACTTGTAACACTATCTCACTGTCTCTGAACGTTCTTGGATTTCTTTTCTTTTTTTTTTCCCCCAAGAAAAGCAGAATCCAGTGAGGAATAGAATATAATTTTCCTTACAATGCATATAAGTGTGTTTATTTTATTTCCATCCAGCTTTGTAATGGACCTCTGGAAGGGTATTTGCTGTGACTCCTTTTGTCGACTATCTTTGCTTATTCTAAAGAAAGGGTCTCTGGCTCAGCAGTTGTTTGCCCAGGGATTTGTTGTCATTGCTTCCAAATTTAAAGGCTATGCCTGTTGATGAAATCCAGTGCATTTGAAAAACATAGAAAAAAAAAAAAAAAAAAAGAAAAAAAAAGAAAAAAACAAAAAACAAATCTTTTAAGCAGGGTCTTGGGCTAAAGGAGTATCAGTTAATAAATAAAATGCATTTAGGGTTACTTTTTTTTGAAAACTGATATTCTTGACTACAGTTCTAAGAAGTGATTGTTGTCTCTCAGTTTTAAAACCAGCTAGGATTATTGAGGATGTTTTAAAATAAATTCTCAAAATTGTCCCCCCAATTTTAGTTATCAGTCAAGACCATTTTAAAACATTGCAGAGTTTACAGTGTCCTGACTCTATTAAAGCTACTTTGTTTACTCATCATTTAAATTTTGGTAAATGAGAAAGAAAGAGGAAGGTGCAGTTGTTAAGTTGGAAGCAGTGCTTGGAGTTGCTCTGCACATAGCAAGCTTGCAGTAAACAGTTGACATCATAATGTTCAGAAAAGGCAAAAATGCAGCACAGTACATTCAGGGGCTATAATCCTGAAGCCAAGGGAGCCGCCGCAGGGATCTGTAGGCAAAGGATGAAGGCATCATCCT